TAACCAGAGCGACATGGGGCGGCCCGTCAATGACGAGGAGCTACATGCTGATGAGAAGGACGAAGAGGCTGCAGAGGGTGCGGGGGACAATAATGCAGATGCAGCCGCTCCACCTGGCAAACCGCAACCTTCTGCTGCACCGGGTGAAGAGGCGCTACCAGGCGCTGGTGCCGCAGCAAGTGGAGCTGCAAACGCCAGTGGGGAGCAAATGTCTGGCTCCGGAGCGGAGGCTGCTGCACCTGAAGCGGCAGTGGGCCCAGGCGGCAGCTCTGCTGCAAACAGTGACGCCGGGCAGGCTCCCGCGAAGGACACAAGCGACATTTCTCCGCCCGGCGCAGTTGAGGTGTCTAATGGAGACAATAAGGAGGCGTCGCAGGGAGCCGACAACGCCCCGGCTAATAAAACCGCTCCACCCGAACCTCAGGCGATTCCCCCGGCACGCAACGCGGCACCGCTTTCTGGCAACGTCCCCGCTACCTTCAAGAACATCACTGGCGTGAGGCTCGATGAAGGAGGCGGTGACGGCGCTGAGTACGGTGGATGCGTGCGGCGCCTGTTGCTGCTTGTCCTGCTGGGGCTGTGGGGCATTGCGGCTCTCTCCGCTGCGTAAAAGGGAGATTGAGTGGGCGCGCCCTCACGCGAAAGACGCCTTCAGTTGCCCTGCGCCACCTGTTGCATTTCTTCGATGGACCACTTTTTTTTTTATCTTTACTTTTACAGCTTTCGTTCATTTCCGTTTGCTGCCGGTGCTTTGCTGGAGTGATCGGCACCCCGTCTTTTTTTTTTGATTTTTTTGCCGTGCTTACGCCCTCCCTGTGGAAGGGCGAGTTCCCTGCACGATTGTTTGTCTCTCCGCTCCACACACGCTGAAGAGGGACGCCGCGCAGAAGCCCGTCGTGGAATTCATCTGACTGCGTGGACATGTGGCGGACCACAATGAGGTGAAAGGGGCATAATTTGTGTTATTGCGTGTGCGGCCGCGTGAGAGGGACTGAGAGCGGGCGATGTGCGCAGCTCGTCCGTCCCTTAAATATATATATTTCTCTCTCTTTGTGTGTGTCCTCCTGCACGGACTGTCGCCCTCGCCCCACCCCACGAGGCACACACGTAATGTGCTCATGCATACACGTACACTCATGCAGGTCGTTGGTCGTCTTTTATTATTGTTATTTTGCTTTTGACGAACTGCCGCTGCCGTTCTGCTTGGCTGCATGGGCAGAGCACCGTAACTGTTTTTTATTATTTCAATTGTTTTGGTTTTGATTGCTTTCGGTGTGCGGCCTCTTTGTTTCCCTCCTTCTTACTGGATTGGGCTGTACGGGAAGGGAGGGAATGTGTGTGTGCTGGTCGGCCCACTTACTGCTGCGCGTCCCCAATGCTCGGTGGACGTGCCCACGCTTCGGCTTCACTTCACGGGGTGTGTTTGTTTGTTTCTTGTGTTTTTTGTTGGGTGCACTTATTCTGCAGCGTATGCCGGAGACGTCTGTTTTTTTGCAGGCGCCTGCATCTTTGTCTGTGTGTGTTTGTCCTTTTCTCTGCCTCTTCTCCCGTGTCCACGTTGCTGGTGCTCGTTGTCGAAGCAGCAAAGAAGCATTGTTTTGTTTTGCGCGCACGACATGCTGCGGTTTCCCCCTGCCCCGTCGCAGTCTGCGCGGCTGCTGATGGTAATTGTGGTGGCGGTGTGCTGTGGCTGCGGCAACGTTGCCGCGGGCCCGGTGACGTACCCCTGCAGCTTCGACGAGGTGATGCGCGGGGGTGAGGGGTTGTTGTCTGCCCCGGTGGTGATGAAAGCCGTCCCTTCGGCAGGCGAGCCCCAGTTGGAGACGTACGTTGTCGTGAAGGAAGAGTGGGCGCCGATCCGCATTGTGGCGTCAATGAAGGACCTGGAGGATAATAAAAAGCACTGCCAGTTGTCTACGCTTGACAAACCGAATTTGCGTGGCGGAACTGTCAGCTGTTCACAAAAAGACAGTTTAACTCGAAATGGCAAGAAAGAAATACTCACCCGTGCCATTCATGTCGCCATCAAACTGCACGCGGACCGTCTTCTTGTCCAGCCGCTGAAGGATCCGTTGAAGGTGCCAAACTTCCCCAGTGACAGCGTTTGCGGGCAGTTCACGGTGCCTGAAGCGCATCGTTCCGAGGGCGTTGACAATGCTGACATGGTGCTGTACGTGGCGGCTGCGCCGGGCGGTGTGTGGGCGTTGCCGTGCGCCACGCTGGATAATGGCCGCCCAATCGTTGGGGTTGTGAACGTTGCCCCGGCGGATTTGCGTTTTCCCCGGCTCGCCACTCGCATCGCCGCGCATGAGATCGCCCATGCCTTGGGGTTCGCCTACGGGAAGATGGTGGCGAGCCACATGGTGAAGAATGTGACCGGCGTGCGTGGCAGGGCGTTGTCGGTGGTGGTGAACTCGATGAACGCCGCGATGGCTGCGAGGGAGCACTACAACTGCAACGGCATTCAGGGCATGGAGCTGTATGACTTCAAGGGGGACGGGACGGGGCTGGAGTCGCACTGGTCAAAGCGCAACGCGAAGGACGAGCTGATGGCTCCGCTCGGGGGTGCCGGCTACTACACGGAGCTGACGCTGGCCGCCTTCGCCGACTTGGGCTACTACAAGGTGAACTGGGCGATGGCGGAGCCGATGGGTTGGGGCAGGCAGTCGGGGTGTGAGCTGCTGCAAAAGAAGTGCTCCGAACTGGACTTGAGTAAATACCCCAAAATGTTTTGCGACATGACATTTAGGCCTCTTCAGTGCACGTCGGATCGGTATTTCAACGGAACGTGCGATTCGAACATCATTGAAATGTCGCCCAATGTGCAAACGGACGTATGCTACACGGTTGCGGCTTGGGTGCCCAGAGAAGACTTTAATTACGTCTTTAAGCAAGAGCAGCAGCAGCGGGGGAATAGAGGTTCACGGTATCCAAAAAGTAAGGCTAAAAAAGTGCCTAATCCCATGTGGTGCCTTGACAGGCAGCTTCCACCGAAGGAGGAGGCGGAGGAAGAAGAATACGAACAGGCAGTTGCCGCCGTCTACGCAGAGGTGATGTGCACCGGAAAAGAGGTCAAGCTGAAAACAGGGGGTGGGGGTTTTTATGGCAAACGTGCAAGGCCGGAGAGACAGTCACCGGGAGCTACCCTCCTTTCAATACGGGGAATGTCATCTGCCCTGAATACGCGGAGGTGTGCACGATGTCCATCAACGGCAGCAGCCTTCTTCCAGTGGTTGAATGGGACGGCAAAGAGAAGGTGTGGAAGAAAGCAGCCCCTGCAGAAGAGCTGGGCCTTGCGCCGCCTGTGAGTGGTCCTGTTGATAGGCCCAACAGCGGCAGCAGTGAGCAGTCTGAGCAGTCTGGACACCCACCGTCAACGCCTTCTACTCCTGGCGGTGGTGACGCGGCCGGTGACGGTGGAACTGGCAACAACGGTCCGGAAAGCGGCGCCCCGTCGAGGGAGCAGGAATCCATTCCTGTGGCTCCGCCGGGGGCAGGAAACGGGAACGAACACCACGAGAGCAGCCACGGCATCACCAGCGGTGGTGATGCGAGTGGTGGAGGGGCCCATGGTGAGGGCGGAGAGTTGTCGTCAGCTGCTGGCGGCGAGGTGAGCCCTCAAGAGGTGTCTGGGGGGTGGTGGGACCACGCGGCAGGCAGCAGAGATGTACCGCCACCAGCACGAGCGACAGGGGAGGGCACGGGGGATGAAAACGCACCACAGACGGAGACAACTCCGCAGCACTCGGCATCACGTGAGGAGCCTTCACCGCCACTGCCGGAGTCAGAGGGAACTCAAGAGGAGGGGGACGCCAACGCGGAATTGCCCCGCAGCGAATCCGCTGTCGCACCGGGTGCCGCAGCGAACACTTCAACTGGGAGTGAGGCGGAGACACCCGAACCAACTCTTTCTGCAGGTGGTGTTGGTGCTGTCGGTCCTCAGCCTGAGGGGCCCTCTGCGGAGGCCGGCAACGGCGCTGCCCAGCCCAGTGCCACTGAGACACCGGACGGGCACCACAGCGAAACTGCCCCCAACACACCGACTGGCAGTGCGAAGGAAGCAACGACACGGCCAGCTGCCAACGCCGCCACTAATGCGACGAAGGCGACGCATGGCGACAGTGACGGCAGCACCGCGGCCTCGCACTGCACCTCCCCCCTTGCGCTTCTTCTGCTTCTTGCATGTGCGGCGGCTGCTGCGACGGCGGCGGCGTGAGGGAGCGGTGCGCAGCTCGTCCTTCCTTAAATATATATATTTCTCTCTTTTTGTGTGTGCCCTCCTGCACGGACTGTCGCCCTCGCCCCACCCCACGAGGCACACCCGTAATGTGCTCATGCATACACGCTACACTCATGCAGGCCGTTGGTTTTTTAATTTATTTTGCTTTCAACGCGCTGCCGTTCTGCTTGACTACATAGGCAGAGCACCGTAACTGTTTTTTATTGTTTCAATTGTTTTGGTTTTCATTGCTTTCGGTGGGCGGCCTCTTTGTTTCCCTCCTTCTTCCTGGATTGGGCTGTACGGGAAGGGAGGGAGTGTGTGTGTGCAGGTCGGCCCACTTGTTGCTGCGCGTCCCCAATGCTCGGTGGACGCGCCCACGCTTCGGCTTCACTTCACGGGGTTTGTTTATTTTTTGTTTGCCTGTTTTTCGTTGACTGCACTCACTCTGCGGGCTGCGTATTGGTATTGGTGTCTGTCCGTGTGCTCTCCGGTGTGTTATGCCTTCTCTTCTTTTGTTTCTCTTCCCCGCTGCCTCGCAGCTCACATATTTCAGCGACTCTGCCACCACCACCACTAACACGACGACGGATGGCGATGGCGACGGTGCGGCGCCGTGCGGTGTGCGCCCTTGCAGTCCTTGTGCTGCTGTGCGGCTGCTGCTTCTCCGTGTGCGGGGCGACGCCAGAGCAGGAGCGTGAGGCTTTGGTGGATGTGTTTATGGAGTTCTCGTGTCAGGACAGTGAGAACAAGTTGAGTTGGCGCCTTAATTCCAAGCACGAGTGGAGGAAGTGCGCATTGGATGTGAACTCTGTCCACTTTATAAGTGGAAACACTTACAGCGGCGACAACGCCATCTGTGCCTGGGGCGGGACACTGCATTTGATTGGAGGTGACCGGACGCGTTGCTCTCAATCCGAGACAGAGCCTAAACATGCCTTCACGATGAGCTGCAAGACGCACAGGGACAGTGCAGTGCGCAAACTGTGGGAAGCAGCAAACGCGAACCCCAGCGACGCGTCCCACTCATCTTCATCCAGCGAACCGTCTGGCGTTTTAATGTATTGTGGGCGGCAAACCACAAGTGGAGAGAGAACTGAAGTGGAAGCTGGTTCGACTGAGGAAAAGGGTCCGAGCGGTGTTCCTGAAGAGAATGCGCACGGCGGTGGCAGTGCAGGTGCAGGACCTAAAGATGCCGTGACGGAAGAGACTCCACCGACACCATCGACTGGCGGCGATGGTGGAAGCGCCACTACAACCACGACCACCAGCAGCCCCAGTGGTGGGAAACACGCAAAGGGCAACGCGGACGGCAGCGGCACGCCCAGTGTGTGGGTGCGTGGCACGCTGCTGCTGCTGCTGACGGCTGCTGTTGCCTGTGCTGCTGGGGATTGACTGATGCAGGGCAACTGCACACACACACACACACACAGGCAGGGCGACGCAGAGTGTTTGTGCGCTGAGTTTGCGTGTCGTCCCTGTGGGCCAACGTCTCTCCTGCACTTTGAGGGGCGTTTTGTTTCTTTTTTTTTATGCGTTTGTTTCAATGGTCGTTTGCTACACACATCCCAGTGGGTGGCGTCTCTTCCCCTCCTGTTTGCCGCTGCCATCAACACACACGCGGTGCCTGCCTCGTGGCTGTGCGTTGCACGCACTGCCCGAACGAGACACGAGGCCGCGGAGACCGTGACGGGCAACCGTGATGCGTGAGTGTGGCTAGGGATTTATTTTATTTTAAAAGGTGATAAATACACAAATACACACGCAGTCCTCTTGTGCTTTTGGACACGTGAGGCAAAATCACCTGCCAAAATAATTTCGTCGTCTTTTTTAAAAAATTTGGGGAACTGCGGGAATTCCTCATCGCCATC